GGCTGTTGGAGCACGCGGTGCCCATCGTCGAAATCAACGGGGGAACTGTCGGGTCGACCAACGTGTATATAAGAAAGTTAACATGCGATTAGAGAGAAGGGAAAAATTGGGGGCTCAATTTGAAAAGCCCACACATTTACCAATGGTTTTAGATTCACTGAAAAGACGAGAACAAAAAGGGAGAATAAAAGAATCGAAAGAGCTTCATGCCAGTGAAAACGGCAACAGTATATTATAGGTAACACCAAAGAAACCATAAACTCCAAAATTCTACTGAAATTGAGGGGTTGGAAGTAATTGTATTTCATCTTTGTCTTTACTTAATTATTTCAGTGTAATAATTTTTATTCTACTTTAATTAATTGTGCACTTTTCGTTGTTATATATTAGCATTTTATAATAATTTTATCTACTTTTTTCTCTTCGTCTTTCATATATTTCTTTTATTGTCTCTCTTTCAGCCGCTTAATGCCCCACCAATATAACCCCTATTACAGTCGGTCTGGGATTTTGGCTTCGTTGTTACTTATAATATACTGTTATCTTAAAAAGCAATCAAAAGTAAATCTAGAGGCCAACCGCATATACTGCCTAGCCCGCTCTCCATGCTCACCGTGAAACGCCTGCAGTACTTAGGATGACGTACTGCACAAAAAGCGTCAAATTTTAAATTCTTCCCTTGGTTTCCGCAGCACGGCAAGATGATTACATTCCTTATCCCGAAAAAATATACTACACGAACTGCTACAAGTCCTGTCCTTTTCCCCTCTTTCTCTGGCTCTCACCCATTTCATGGTGCTCTGAGAACTGTTCACTACAGGAAGCCCCATGTGTCACTTCGTTTTTTCCATTCTTACTAAATCTCCTCGCTGGTTCTACCAGCTCTGAGCTCACTCTCATTCCCGCGTTGGGTTTGACACTTTAGGTTGGTGGGCTTGTCGTTTCTGGAGGGGAAAAGTTGCTTTAGCTGAACTGTCCCATCAACTCACTATCTCCTCCCACCCTCTATAGTAAACTGAGAATGGAGCAGTTTTCTTAAAGGCACCAAGCACTCACTTATAATGGAATAGTTACAGCCCACTCTACCCTCTGATGAAATGAAAATAGGTTCTGATTCAGTTTTCCCCTCTCTACGTGCTTTTAGTTGGCTTCTCACGCTCTTACTACCGCAATCTGATTTCCACGAGAGAGAGAGAGACACGAGAGTCGCCTCCGAGAGTTAAACTGCGGCTTTTGCTTGTATATGTTCTTCTTCTACTTCTTCCTCTTCTTCCTTCCAAAACAATCTCTTCCCTGCTTGTGCCTTTAATTCTACGCATGATGACTAAAAGGGACTGAAAAGGTTGGTGAGCTTGTTTGTCTCAGCTTGCCTCCTTATTGTAGCCCACTTACTCCTTCCTAAATGCGTCGCACCAGTTCAGCAGGCAGCAACGACCACCTTCCCTCCCCCCTGAAACAATAGGCAGACAGGAATACAGTGTGGAAGTCGCCTGAAAATGCACATTGCCATTAAGCGTCTTTACAAATCTGCCATATTTCTCAGAGTACT